TGTGTGAGACGAGAATATATGTGTGTGAGACGAGAGTATATGTGTGTGAGAGGAGAATATATGTGTGTGAGACGAGAATATGTGTGTGAGAGGAGAATATATGTGTGAGAGAGGTGAATATATGTGTGTGAGACAAGAATATATGTGTGTGAGATGAGAATATATGTGTGTGAGAGGAGAATATATGTGTGTGAGAGGAGAATATATGTGTGTGAGATGAGAATATGTGTGTGAGAGGAGAATATATGTGTGAGAGAGGTGAATATAAGTGTGTGAGACAAGAATATATGTGTGTGAGACGAGAATATATGTGTGTGAGATGAGAATACATGTGTGTGAGAGGAGAATATATGTGTGTGAGATGAGAATATATGTGTATGAGAGTAGAATATATGTATGTGAGACGAGAATATATGTGTGTGAGAGGAGAATATATGCGTGTGAGACGAGTATATGTGTGTGAGAGGAGAATATGTGTGTATGAGAGTAGAATATATGTGTGTGAGAGGAGAATATATGTGTGTGAGAGGAGAATATATGTGTGTGAGACGAGAATACATGTGTGTGAGACGAGAATATATGTGTATGAGAGTAGAATATGTGTGTGAGAGGAGAATATGTGTGTGAGACGAGAATATATGTGTGTGAGAGGAGAATATACGTGTGTGAGAGGTGAATATATGTGTGTGAGACGAGAATATATGTGTGTGTGACGAGAATATATGTGTGTGAGATGAGAATACATGTGTGTGAGAGGAGAATATATGTGTGTGAGAGGAGAATATATATGTGTGTGAGAGGAGAATATATGTGTGTGATAGGAGAATATATATGTGTGTGAGATGAGAATATATGTGTGTGAGAGGAGAATATATATGTGTGTGAGAGGAGAATACATGTGTGTGAGAGGAGAATATATGTGTGTGAGAGGAGAATATATGTGTGTGAGAGGAGAATATATATGTGTGTGAGATGAGAATATATGTGTGTGAGAGGTGAATATATGTGTGTGAGACGAGAATATATGTGTGTGTGACGAGAATATATGTGTGTGAGATGAGAATACATGTGTGTGAGAGGAGAATATATGTGTGTGAGACGAGAATATATGTGTGTGAGAGGAGAATATATGTGTGTGAGAGGAGAATATATGTGTGTGAGACGAGAATATGTGTGTGAGAGGAGAATATATGTGTGAGAGAGGTGAATATATGTGTGTGAGACAAGTATATATGTGTGTGAGACGAGAATATATGTGTGTGAGATGAGAATACATGTGTGTGAGAGGGAATATATGTGTGTGAGACGAGAATATATGTGTATGAGAGTAGAATATATGTGTGTGAGACGAGAATATATGTGTGTGAGAGGAGAATACATGTGTGTGAGAGGAGAATATATGTGTGTGAGAGGAGAATATATGTGTGTGAGATGAGAATATATGTGTGTGAGAGGAGAATACATGTGTGTGAGAGGTGAATATATGTGTGTGAGACGAGAATATATGTGTGTGAGATGAGAATACATGTGTGTGAGAGGAGAATATATGTGTGCGAGACGAGAATATATGTGTGTGAGACGAGAATATATGTGTGTGAGAGGAGAATATATGTGTGTGAGACGAGAATATGTGTGTGAGAGGAGAATATATGTGTGAGAGAGGTGAATATATGTGTGTGAGACAAGAATATATGTGTGTGAGATGAGAATATATGTGTGTGAGAGGAGAATATATGTGTGTGAGAGGAGAATATATGTGTGTGAGACAAGAATATGTGTGTGAGAGGAGAATATATGTGTGAGAGAGGTGAATATATGTGTGTGAGACAAGAATATATGTGTGTGAGACGAGAATATATGTGTGTGAGATGAGAATACATGTGTGTGAGAGGAGAATATATGTGTGTGAGATGAGAATATATGTGTATGAGAGTAGAATATATGTGTGTGAGACGAGAATATATGTGTGTGAGAGGAGAATATATGCGTGTGAGACGAGAATATATGTGTGTGAGAGGAGAATATGTGTGTATGAGAGTAGAATATATGTGTGTGAGAGGAGAATATATGTGCGTGAGAGGAGAATATATGTGTGTGAGACGAGAATACATGTGTGTGAGACGAGAATATATGTGTATGAGAGTAGAATATGTGTGTGAGAGGAGAATATATGTGTGTGAGACGAGAATATATGTGTGTGAGAGGAGAATACATGTGTGTGAGAGTAGAATATATGTGTGTGAGAGGAGAATATATGTGTGTGAGACGAGAATACATGTGTGTGAGACGAGAATACATGTGTATGAGAGTAGAATATATGTGTGTGAGAGGAGAATATATGTGTGTGAGACGAGAATATATGTGTGTGAGAGGAGAATATGTGTGTATGAGAGTAGAATATATGTGTATGAGAGTAGAATATATGTGTGTGAGACGAGAATATGTGTGTGAGACGAGAATATATGTGTGTGAGACGAGAATATATGTGTGTGAGACGAGAATATATGTGTGTGAGACGTGAATATATGTGTGTGAGAGGAGAATATATGTGTGTGAGAGGAGAATATATGTGTGTGAGACGAGAATATATGTGTGTGAGAGGAGAATACATGTGTGTGAGAGGAGAATATGTGTGTGAGAGGAGAATATATGTGTGTGAGAGGAGAATATATGTGTGTGAGACGAGAATATATGTGTGTGAGAGGAGAATACATGTGTGTGAGACGAGAATATATGTGTGTGAGAGTAGAATATATGTGTGTGAGACGAGAATATATGTGTGTGAGAGGAGAATATATGCGTGTGAGACGAGAATATTTGCCTGTGAGACGAGAATATATGTGTGTGAGAGGAGAATATATGTGTGTGAGAGGAGAATATATGTGTGTGAGAGGAGAATATATGTTTGTGAGAGGAGAATATATGTGTGTGAGAGGAGAATATATGTGTGTGAGACGAGAATATATGTGTGTGAGACGAGAATATATGTGTGTGAGAGGAGAATATATGTGTATGAGAGTAGAATATATGTGTGTGAGACGAGAATATATGTGCGTGAGAGGAGAATACATGTGTGTGAGACGAGAATATATGTGTGTGAGAGTAGAATATATGTGTGTGAGACGAGAATATATGTGTGTGAGAGGAGAATATATGCGTGTGAGACGAGAATATTTGCCTGTGAGACGAGAATATATGTGCGTGAGAGGAGAATATATATGTGTGTGAGATGAGAATATATGTGTGTGAGAGGTGAATACATGTGTGTGAGACAAGAATATATGTGTGTGTGACGAGAATATATGTGTGTGAGACGAGAATATATGTGTGTGTGACGAGAATATATGTGTGTGAGAGGAGAATATATGTGTGTGAGAGGAGAATATATGTGTGTGAGAGGAGAATATATGTGTGTGAGACGAGAATATGTGTGTGAGAGGAGAATATATGTGTGAGAGAGCAGAATGTGTGTGTGTGTGTGTGTGTGTGTGTGTGTGTGTGTGTGTGTGTGTGTGTGTGTGTGTGTGTGTGTGTGTGTGTGTGTGTGTGTGTGTGTGTGTGTGTGTGTGTGTGTGTGTGTGTGTGTGTGTGTGTGTGTGTGTGTGTGTGTGTGTGTGTGTGTGTGTGTGTGAGGAGATAATATATGTGAGAGAGGAGAATATATGTATGTCCATCCATTCATGTTCATCCGTTTATCTGGAGTCGGGTCGTGGGGGCAGTAACCTAAGTCGAGAGGCCCAGACTTCCTTCTCCCCAGCCACTTGGGCCAGCTCCTCTGGGGAAATTCCAAGGCGTTCCCTGGCCAGGTGAGAGACATAGTCCCTCCACCGTGTCCTGGGTCTACCATTAGGTCTCCTCTGGGTTGGACGTGCCCGGAAAACCTCACCAGGGAGGCGTCCAGGAGGCATCCTGACCAGATGCCCGAGCCCTCTCAACTGGCTCCTCTCGATGTGGAGGAGCAGCGAATCTATGCCGAGCCCCTCCTGGATGACCGAGCTTCTCACCCTATCTCTAAGGGAGAGCCCAGCCACTCTGAGGAGAAAACTCATTTCGGCCGCTTGTATCCGCGATCTCGTTCTTTCGGTCACTACCCAAAGCTCATGACCATAGGTGAGGGTAGGAACGTAGATCGACCGGTAAATCGAGAGCTTCGCCTTCTGACTCAGCTCTCTCTTCACCACGACAGACCGGTACAACGCCCGCATCACTGCAGATGCTGCACCAATCCACCTATCAATCTCATGCTCCAGTTTTCCCTCACTCGTGAACAAGACCCCGAGATACTCAAACTCCTCCACTTGGGGCAGGACCTCACCCCTGACCCGGAGAAGGCATTCTACCCTTTTTAGCATCAAGACCATGGTCTCAGATTTAGAGGAGCTGATTCTCATCCCAGCTAATTCACGATCTGCTGCAAACCGCTCCAGCGAAAGCTGAAGATCACGTCCTGATGAAGCCAACAGGACCACATCATCTGCAAAAAGCAGAGACCCGATCCTCAGGCCACCAAAACGGATGCCCTCCACACCTTGGCTGCACCTAGAAATCCTGTCCATCAAGGTTATGAACAGAATCGGTGACAAAGAGCAGCCTTGGCGGAGTCCAACTCTCACTGGGAACGAGCCCGACTTACTGCCGACAATACGGACCAAGCTCTGACACCGGTCATACAGGGACCTAACAGCCCGAATCAGAGGGCCTGGTACCCCATACTCCCGGAGTACCCCCCACAGGGACCCCCGAGGGACGTGGTCAAACGCCTTCTCCAAATCCACAAAACACATGTAGACTGGTTGGGCAAATTCCCACACATGTATGTATGTGAGACAAGAATGTGGCCTCATCAAACGTCTCTGGAGGGGCTCCTGAGCCTTGGCCAACTGTTTGGTTGTCTGCAACAAAAAGTCTTGGTTTAAAGCCGTCCCTGATAAATATGTATAGCTTATTGAGTTTTGCACCAAATTCCCTCTGGAAAGGGTTGTAAAAAGCTGAACGAGACAGAAGATGAGCTTGTTTTATTCTCATAAGGCATCACTGTACATTAGGTTGCCTCACACATCCAGATCGTCACATAAAGACAAAAAGATAGAAAAATATATGTCATTGTGGAGCTTTGTAAAGACGAGTGTACATTCTTGAAAGTAATTATATGTCGCCGTGTAGTACGGCTTCTACATGAGATAGAAAACCCACTCAGCAGCACCTGCTTTTGGATGGCGTACAGAACTGCAGCTGCAGGTCAGGAAGGCTTCAGTTTTTTTTTTTGTTTTTGCTTTTGCAGACAGCTGATGTGCAAACCCTCCAGGGGAGAAACAGTCAGGAAGCCTCTGGTCAGCAGTTTGATGAGGACCAGAGCCGGTCAGTTCATTTGGCGAGGGGGGAGGGGGAGGTTGTAGCTTAGAGCACCACCAGGTGTTTCATTTACAACACATCCTCACTCATGCTGTTAGAGTCAAAAGAGCCCTTTAGTCAACGTTTTACTAATTACTACTTTTCATCACAACAAGGTGGACTTGCATCCTGAGATGAGAGAAGCATGCATCTCTTGAACTTCCACAATACTCAACATGGTGCATGGAATAAAAAAACATCAAAGGAATGTAAGCGACTGCATGTTAACACCTCTAATTGTTTTTACTCACAAACGTTTGGCAACCAACGTTCAGCGCCAAGCTGTTGGACGTAACGTCAAATAAACGGGAAATGTTCAGATCAGTCTGATGGACTCAAGCAGGAACCAATCGGCTGCCTCCTCCTTCCTCACTGCAGCTCTGTGCTCATCTACTTACAAATAAGAGCCCATGATTGGAACACAATTTCAGTTACAGCCCACTTGACTTTTAGACAACAGCGCAATAACAACAGCAGTCATAATTCTTGAGAGGAATCATTATAAGTTCTGTTTTTTTTTTTGTCGGTGATGCAAGTTGTGTAAAGCTCTCAGGAGCAGGATGCATGATGGGAAGGACGTCCCCAGCACGCCGAGACCTGGAGGATGAAACCAGTCGTTTAGAGTAAGGATTCATTAATTCATTCAGTTTGGTTATAAGGGCTTACTTACATTTTCTGCTTAGAAAAAGCTGTAACCATGGTTACGCCTCATTCTCTATGGTCATCACAGGGTTACTGGCACCTGAACACAGACGCAGGTAAAACACATGAGTGCAGATGCAGAAACGTGCAGAAAGGGAAACAAACATGGAGGGATGGAGTGGTTTACCCTTCTTGTCCTTGTTAGTTGTACCTTCACTGTCTGACCAGGAGGGGGCGCTGGATAGCAGCCGACTCTGGCTCTCTCTGAGTGGTTTGGATGGAAACTGGCGGCCCTCTGCTGCACTACAAAACGCAAACCAACAGCACCACGAGCTTTTGAAACAAGAACGTTCCACTCTTTTTGATAAACGATGATAAATACTTTTACCTAAAACAACACTGAGCTTTAAACTTTGCACTCCTCACCTCTTGCTGGCAGAGCTGGAGCTGCTGGGTGATGAGGGCTGTTCAGGGTCCAGATTCACCAGGCAGGTTGGAAACGAACAGCCATCACCTAAACTGTAAAGCCACCAGAAAAAGGAAACAACACAGTAATTCACGTGCTTTTCATTTCTGTTCAGCGCATTGGCCCGGCAGCTTGAGAACTGCTGGTAACCCTAACCCAAAGGCTCCACCGCCTTGTGGTGGTTGAAGGATTTGCAACTTAACAATAACTTTACTCAAAAGACCACAGCATTGTTACAGACGAGGATAGAAATAAAAATAGCATCCTTAAACACGACGTTCACCCATTTCCCAACACATTTGGAGTGGTCTCTAGTATAAATGAATGGTTTCTGAGTTGATCTTTGAGGGGGAAAAGCTCTTGCGCACGTGTTTCCATGGACGTAATTTTGGGGGGGGGATGGGGGGGACATGCCCCCCCCCACTTTTTCCAAAGTGAAGCTGACCCCTGCACTTTTTACCATCCAAAACAATATTACGCTATATTAAAGTGACACCGGTTGAGCTCTAGGACCAAGCAGAAAACAACCGTTTGTGCTGAAGCCTGTTTCCCATTAGAACATACTGTAAAGATACCCCCCCCCCCCCGTGTCCCCCCCACTTCTAAAGCAAAAATGACGTCCATGCGTGTTTCAGAAATTAGACGTTAGCCATAGGAATGGAGAGCAGAAGACTGCAGGGTTTTTAAATTGTCTGACAGTTTTTTAAACAGTAGAGACCACACGCTATATGTAAAATAACAGTTTGAGTCCTAAAACGTGTGCTACAGACTACATATTAACTGATTTCACACACAGACAGTCCCCAATCAAGTGGGAAGTTATGGCGGAGGAGGAGCGTGCAGTGTACTTCCACTTTCTGATTGGCTACATGGCACATTCAACAGTCAGTCCCAATTTATTGTTGGAGTTGTCCTTACCAGGGGCGTGTCCAGGGAATAGCCTGGGGTAGCACATGGCACCCTGGAAATCTGACTGGTCACCCCATTGAGCTCCATTTAATTTTAGCCCAATACCACTACTCGCACTTCCACCCACGCGCCCTTCGATTGTGCGTTCCAGTCCGAGTGCGAGTGCGTAGGGTGTCCCAATTCTCAAGTGCTGAAGTTGACCCCGCCCCTTTTGCACCCTTAATCCGCACTTTTTCCAAGTCTGCATCGACTTGGGCAAAGGAGAGAAGTTCAAACGAAAGAAGTTCATTTTAAGACGATTAATATTTGTTCATGCTCTTAATATTTTAGATTGAGATTTAATGTGGACAGCAATCAATGTAAATTTTGTCAATTGTTTGTTTGAAAGTTGTTAATAAAGATTTTTTTTAATAGCACAAAAAGCGACCAGCATTCCGGCATGCCGTGGTCAATGATGCAATGGTATCTGTCCCAATTTGCCAATTATTTGCACACTGTGTACCCACATGAAGCTTCACAGAGTATTGGGATTGGGCTGAAGAAGAAGAAGAAGAAGAAGAAGAAGAAGAAGAAGAGAAGAAGAAGAAGAAGAAGAAGAAGAAGAAGAAGAAGAAGAAGAAGAAGAAGAAGAAGAAGAAGAAGAAGAAGAAGAAGAAGAAGAAGAAGAAGAAGAAGAAGAAGAAGAAGCCGCCTAACTATAGGTGCCACCTCTGCATAAACAAGTGCCCCACCTGGGCAAGCCCATTTTAAGGGGCAATTAAGCAGACCAGACACACCACACACGGCAGGAGTATCTGATGAGATCATTTTTAGAACCATTACAGTTTCCAGGCATGTCCTTAATGTTGTTGGAAGGGGAAAATTGTGTTAAAAATCTGCCAAATTATCCTGTTGTGTGAGTTGGTCTTACAGCTGAGCATGGCTCCCCTACAAATGAAGCTAATTTAGATGCTTATCTGAGATCTTTCTGGCTTAACCCTTTGATGCATGAATTATGAAATATTCAACCATGATTTTTTTAACAATTTTTTCATTCATCTTTAGGTGTGAATGAAGCAAATTTCATATTTACATAGTTTTTGTAACATTTAATAATTTACAAATAATTTATTACATGTCCACCTCGGTGGACAGCGTGCATTCCGAACATGAAATATGTCGGCTTGACTTACTGAAGTCCAAATGGAGGGGCTCAAATGCAATAAAGTCATCAACAGCTGTGCTTAGTAGCAACAAAAAAATACTATTTTGAGTACCTGTCCACTGTAGCGACCGTTATGCATCAAAGGGATAATCTAATATCTGTGTCGATAAGTGAGAGTTGGAGCATAGGCAAAAGTTGTAAATCAAGAGCCCTCTCCAGGTTAACTAAACACATGTGAACCGAACAACCAAACCCCCACAACCCTTTCAGCAGGAGGAGAGATGTGAGAATAATATGTGCATTGCCCCCTGCTGGCCCCCCATCTTATCGCCACTGCTGGAAGAATCTTTCTGCACACCGGGTTTAGTCAGTTTCTTTTTCACTTACATAAAATATGCTCACCCAACAAAAACAGGCTCTGTCAGAACAGCAGCTGTTGATGAGAAATATCAGATAAAAGTAAGAGCAAAAATGTTGCAGCAAAGTGTTCAAGATGAGCCTTCAAGTCCCAGAAACAACCTATTAGGTAACGTTCGTCTACAAAGAGCTCCTGTTAGGCTGAAGCAGACATGAAAGATGCTTTATGTGTGACTTTATTATTCCTTTTATGAGGCGTATGACTTTGTTGGTGTCTAGTTGTTGTGCGTCACAGTGATTCTTAGAGGAATTTTGTTTCTTTCAGCTGTTTCTGTCATGCCACCACTCCAGCCAGGCCCGGTTTCCCCAGCAACCACAACCAGCTCATCATCTACCTGATTCAAACCACCTGTCTCACATTAACTCATCAGCTCCACCTGCAACCACCTCTATATAACATCAGGAGAAACACCAAGCCAGTGCCAGATTTTTGAAAGCATTTTGTTAGTAGATTCTCCAGCATTCTAAAACCCTGCCTAAACCTCAAGTTCCTGACCTTGCTTCTGATCCTCGACCTTGCCACCTGCCTGCTCCCTGACTGGATTATCTCATAGTTTCTGATCTTCTGGACTCCTGACCTTGGATCTGTTACATGGATTCTGCCTCTGGATTTCCCCTCCTGACCAAGCCTTCTGCTTCTGCCCTTCCTACAGACTGGTAACACTCCCCTGTGTGTTCTCAAATAAAAACTTTAAAGCGTCTTACTGTGTCTGGTGCTTTCACGGGTCCTCCAGCCCTGGTTGTTACAGAAAAATCTGGCCACCATGGACCCAGCACAGACACAGGAATGGCAGCTTGGTGTGGAACGCTCCATTTCTGGTCTGGAAGACAAAGTAAACGAACTCCTGGATCTGCTCCGAACCGGTGACTCATCTCGTCATGTGACCGACGTCCCGAGGGCTTCCGCATCCCCGGTCCAGTTCCGGGTCTCCCCTGTCCACGAACCTCGACTTGTTCCACCGGAAGTTTTTAAAGGTGAGCCCAAACAATGCCGCCCCTTCCTCACCCACTGCGAGATTCACTTTGAACTACAGCCTTCATCATTTCCAACCGAACGCTCCCGCGTGGCTTATGTGATCTCGTTATTGTCGGACCAAGCCAAGGTTTGGGGCACCGCTGAATGGGCTAAGGACTCTCCCATCTGTTTTAATTACCGTGCTTTCTCAAATGAACTCATTCAGATTTTTAATCCTGTTTTACCAAGCAGGGAGGCTACCCGAGGATTATTGACTTTGGAACAAGGAACCCGGAGGGTTAACGACTATATCATCGACTTCCATGCTGTGGCTGCAGGGAGCGACTGGAATGAGGCAGCCCTCATGGACATGTTCTATCAGGGTCTCTCAGACCGGATCAAGGATGAATTGGCAACTCGAGAGTTTCCTACAAGCCTGGAGGACCTAGAGAATCTTGCCACCCGCATCGACCTCCGACTGTTGGAGAGGCGGAGAGACAGGTCCAGGAGACCCATTCCACCTGTCAGTCCCCGCTCTGCGCCCATAGGTCCGGCAACTTCACCTGGACACACAACTGTGAGTAACTACAACACACCACAATCCTCCCATGAGGAACCCATGCAAATCGGGAAGACCAAGCTCACAGAAAAAGAGATCTAGACGTTGATTACTCAACCTATGTTTTTATTGTGGGGGCTCAGATCACAGCGTACGTAACTGCACGTTAAAAGGGCGTGCTCAATAGAGAAGGGGAGGGCTCTATTGGGTCATTTGGTTCCAAACCCTCCCGTACGACCTTTTGCCTCTGCTACGTTTTTTTATGCCAAACAGGTGCACAGCTGTCCTGTGTTTATTGACTCTGGAGCTGACACAAACTTTATGGACATTTCTTTTGCTGAGTCTATTGGCCTGCCCCTGCACCCCATCGCCCGGACTCAAGAAGTGCAGGCTATTGATGGACACATCATTTACCAAGCCACCCATGAAACTGACCCAATCACCATGAGGCTCGGGGGGAACCATGTCAAAACCCTAAGTTTCCTGGCCATCCCCTCTCCTAACATCTCTGTCATCTTGGGGATCACATGGTTGCGCACTCACAATCCACAGCTGGATTGGCTGAAGGGGGAGATTTTGGGATGGTTTGACCAGTGTATGTCCCAATGTTTGACTAATGCCTCTCCTATGTACACCTGACTCATCAGAAACCTACCCGGACCTCTCAAAAGTCCCTATTGAGTACCATAACCTCAAGGAGGCTTTTAACAAGCATCGTGCTACCAGGTTACCTCCTCATCGCCTCTATGATTGTGCCATTGATTTATTGCCCGGGACTTCACCCCCTAGAGGGCGTCTGTTTTCCCTTTCTCTTACAGAGCAAGAAGCCATGAGGAAATACATCCACGAGTCCCTACAATCAGGAATCATCCGCCCCTCCTCTTCTCCGGCTGGTGCTGGATTTTTCTTCATAGGAAAGAAGGATGGTTCTTTACGACCCTGTATCGACTACAGAGGACTTAACAACATTACGGTAAAGAACCGCTATCCTCTCCCTCTTATCAACTCTGCTTTTGACTCCCTTCGAGGTTCCCAGGTTTTTACCAAGCTTGATTTGCGCAACGCTTGC